ACGAAGAGTGGCGCGTATGCATATTTGCATAGGAAGGAACATGGGGAGCGGGAGAGAAGAATCCTTCTCCTCCGTTCGTGAATTCCTTTTCTCTAATGTTTGCTCAAGGTGGCCTTTCTTTGCCAACCACTTTGCTTGTCTCGGTCTTGTCTCGCATGACTGATTGGATCGGTTGGTGTCGTTTAGGCTGACACAGGCGACAGGCAATAGCGATCGCACAGAGAGATGAGCATAGAACACAGATTATTGTGACGAATGAACTTTTGAAAATGCCAGCTTCTCCAATGAATAGACAGACAGACAGACAGACAGAGATAGGATGACGTAATTTAGCGAACACATCCGGCTACGTTCTAGCAATTCCTCTATTGCTATCTAACACTGAGTCACTCGCTCGCTTCCGAATTACGATTAATCCCATCGGATTGTTCGCAAAACACGAAGAGAATTATCGTATATTTGTTCGAGTTTCGAGGTTCGAGATCTAGGGCTGCGTCCACGTCCGAGCTTTCGTCCTTTCGAATTGCGTGTGTATGCACACCACCGTTCAGAAATCTTCTGGCACAAGTATTATATTCTGTGTAATTAAATATGTAATAAGCATAAAACGTATTCTATACAATAAAGACTCTCTTAATATATTAATATATCGTATTGATATTGTATTATATTATAATATATATTATTATATATAACACATTATATTAATATATTAATATATTGTATTATAACATACGTATACACGATAATTCACGATAAGTGTTAAACGTTACAAATAAAAAGATTTTTGACCGGGAGTGCAAGTCGAAGAAACTTCTCACGTGTTAACAAAACGACTGAATAATAAATATCTCGATCTGCAACCAAGTTTACAACGCAATAAAATTACTGTCGTGACAGGCGAAAGACAAATCGTTCTCGAGATTTTTTCTAGCTTAGAAATTCCAAAAATTATACGATTTGACCCTGAATTGTTATACTCTCGAATAATGGTACGTTCAACGATGCTAATTGAGTGTTGAACGATCGTCACGTGGACGTGGTTAATTAAGAGACTCGAAGGGAATAAATAGCGATCGACACGATGACAAATCGTTATATTATACTGGTTATTCTTCAAGGTTTAGTAATCGAAAACATCGGTTAATCGTTCTTTATCTCTAATTTCTCTAGTTTCTGTCGATATGTCGATGAAGGCAAGGCTCCCTTCTAGGCCGATCCGTTTCCGGCTCGATTAATTGTTTCACCTTGCTACCATACAAACGAGAACGCACGGGGGGCTAACTTGGACGACGAAAGAGCTGTTAAGTTTGTAACATATACTTGTTCGCTCGGTCAAATCGCGCGAAGTCGATGGGACGTGATTACACGAAGGCAGACGGAAAGAAGAAAGTAGAGAAACAGACAGACAAGTAAAGTAAAGACGAGAGAAGAAACATGATATATATATATATATATATATATATATATATATATATATA